ACTTTCTTTCTTATACTAGAATAATTAATACTAAAAAGATAGTTAACCTATATCTTAAGTATATCTAGAAACTCTATAGTATTCCTAAAATAATTATATTAGATTATAAAGTCTAGTTTATTACTATCTTTTAGAAATACCTAATATTTTATTTAAAGATCTATAACCTATTATCTATTATTTATTATCTTAAGATTAATAGCTAAACTAAATATATTAATATTATTTTAAGATAATACTTATAAGTATATATATTATACTTATAAGATAATTAATTTAAATAATTATTAATAATTAAATTTACTACTAACTCTATTTACTCCAAGTCTATAAGAGTATTATTATTTATAGCTAATTATAGATTTTACTTAATATTAAAATTTAAATTAAACTATCTTACTATCTACTTTACTAAAAAAAATACTAAGAAATTTATTAATATTATATATAAGATTTATAAGTTTATTTATATTAAGATCTTATTTATTTAAACTTATTATAAAATATAAGCTAATTATTAAAGGTAACCTATATATTACTATATTATAAGATAAGAAGTCTAGCTAGATACTTATAATATTTAAATACTTTATCTATAAAAGAAGTTAAACTAGAAGAACTTTAGGCTATATTATATTAAGAAAATTATTAGTCTATATACTTATAAATTTAAATTACTTAAAAGTATAAAAATCTATCTTATATTTAATATATTTTTATTCTATTTTATTATTAATAATCCTTTATTTAATTAATATTCTAATCTATTACTACTTATTAAAGTAAAAAGATTAGAAAAATAAAAAGTTAAGAAAATTCTTAATTTTTAATAAGTTTATTAAGACTATAATAAACCTAAACTATAATATATTATTAAATAAATTAAATATAATAAATTAATTAAAGAGCCTATTAAATATCTAGAAAATATTTACTAACTAGTAAATAATTATTACCTTTATTATCTTAAGAAACCCTAGCTAATTCCTCCCTAGTCTTAATAGAGCTTAATCCTAAAGAGGGGGGTACTATTATAGTATAAAGCTATAATACTTATCTAGTTAGATTCTGCCTTAACTATCTATTCTTATTCCTATATTTAAGCTATATTACCCTTAATCCTATTATAGCTCTTCAAGCTACATCCTATCTATTACCTAATACCTACTATTCTGCTGTTCTGTCTGGTTAGCTCCTAGTCAATGAATATCTGAATCCGACTCTGCCCCCTGACATAGCCTGAATATACACCCTGCTATTAGCTACACCTACTGCCTGCCTGCCCTCCATAACAATTCTTAATTTCTAATAAATTTATTAAGAGCTTATTAAATATTTAGAAAATATTTATTAATTAATAAATAATTATTACCTTTATTATCTTAACAAGCCCTAGCTACTTTTTTTCTAAATTTTAATAAAATTTAATCCTAAAGAGAGGGGTATTATTATAATATAAAATTATAATATCTATTTAGTTAGATTCTATTCTAATTATTTATTTTTATTCCTATATTTAAACTATATTACTCCTAATCTTATTATAGCTCTTTAAGCTATATCCTATCTATTACCTAATACTTACTATTCTACTATTCTGTCTGGTTAGCTCCTAGTTAATGAATATCTAAATCTGACTCTGCACCCTGACAAAAGACCTATTTTATCTAGAGTCTAGCTATTAGTACTGACTTTAATTCTCTAATCTAATAGTAAAAGGTTTTCTTTAAACTATCCTTTAATATAGTATTTTCCTTTAAAAATAATATATAAAGGTAAACTCTAATCTCTTGTATTAATATATTTAATAGTAGTAACTTATTCTTAATTATCTAGTTAGATAAGATAAGGTTTTCCAGGCATATTAAATCTAGTAACTACTCTAGTAGTTATTATTAGATTTATTATAAAGCTAGTTTTATTAAAATTATAAATATTTTATTAGTAATATTATATTATAATTAGATAACTTATAATTAATTAAATTATTAATTTAATATTTTTAGATTTTTATATTTAATTTATTAGTAATTATATTTTCTTATAAATTAATTTTTAATTAAATTATAGTATATAATAAAATTTATTACCTAATTTTTTTTAATTAGTAATTAAGTAATTAAACTACCTAATTAAAGTAAGATATAAGTTATTTTTATTATATATATTAGTTTAGGAGTAACTCTATACTTATCTCTAGATATAATCTATTTTAATAGAATATTCTCCTAAATTTTAAATAGCTAGAGATTATAATTATAGAGTTCTACTTAATATTAGTAATTATATAAATAATTAGTTAGGGTAGATTAAGGTATATTATGTCATGGCATGAAACTGTAGTACCTATCTAGTTAGATTCTGCCTTGACTATCCACTCTTATTCCTATATTTAAGCTATATTATCCTTAATCCTATTATAGCTCTTTAAGCTACATCCTATCTATTACCTAATACTTACTATTCTACTATTCTATCTAGTTAGCTTCTAGTTAATAAATATCTAAATCTAATTTTATTCCCTAATATTATATAGTTCCTCTTTACTAGGAGTTAATTATTATTATTATATCTATCTTACTACTTATATTACTTAAAGGTATAAAAACTCTTCTATATAATATTCTTAATAAATTAAAATAATATATTACTAAGATATACTAATTCTTTACTATTATTATAAAAAAACTTTATAAATTATTTATTTTATACTTTATTATTACTAATCTTCTTAATTATATTTAATAAAAAAATAATATAATTAAGTACTAGAAGATATAAGTTAAAGAAATTTAATAAGAATTATTTAAAGTACTTATTTAGAATAATATATTTTTTTAATTACTATTTTTTTTTAGAAAAAATATTAATATTATTATTTTTTTTATTATTATTATTATTCTTACTATATTTATTCTTATTATTTAAATTTTTTAATAACTTTCTAATCTTAATAAATTTAATAACTAATAAAATAATTTAAGATACTTTATTTCTTAAATTTATTAAAAAATAATTATAAATCTTAATTATTTTCTAATCTTAAATAGTAAAATAACTTATATAATTAATTATTTTAAAAAAATCTTATATATCTAAATCTTATTATATATTTAAAATAGAATCTATAAATTAAATAATTATATTAAGATTTTAGAAATCCTAGAAAAAGCTTTTAAAAATCTAAATTTAAAAGTTAATACTTATATTAATCTATTCTATCTTTAATAAATTTATTATAAGTTTAGTATTTTTTTTATTAAATTTTAATACCTTATATTAGAAGAAAATATAAATAAAGATATCTTATTTATAATTCTAAAATAAGCTATTAGCTAAAAATTTTAAAAAATATTAATATATTCTAAAGCCTTATTATAATATTATAATTTTATTAATTATTTATAAAATCTAGAAAATTACTACTATTATTATATAAGTACTATTCTACCCCTATTTATAAAGAATTCCTAGCCTCCTTAATCTATCTTAAAGCTAACTCCTGCTACCCAAATTCCTATAGGCCCTATTAATCCTGTTATTGCTGCTGCTCCTGCTGAAGACCCAATGGACCTGTCTGCCGCCTGTCGCCTCGATCGTCGAACCCAACGCCTGTGTTACCGCTGCGGCGGCGCTGACCACCTAGTAGGCAGCTGCCCGCACCCTGACCGAAAACCAAGCCAACCGCCAAAGACAACCCGCACGTTGCTACACCGTGGGGCAAGAAGTCTGGCTAGACACCTGTAATATCTGAACACTCTGCCTGTAGAAGAAGTTAGACTAGAAGAACTTTAGGCTATACTATATTAAGAGGATTATTAATCTATATACTTATAAATTTAAATTATTTAAAAATATAAGAATCTATTCTATATTTAATATATTTTTACTCTATTTTACTATTAATAATCCTTTACTTAATTAATACCTTAATCTACTATTACCTATTAAAGTAGAAGAATTAAAAAAATAAAAAATTAAGAAAGTCTTTAATTTTTAATAAATTTATTAAAATTATAGTAAACTTAAGTTATAATATACTATTAAATAAATTAAATATAATAAGTTAATTAAAGAACTTATTAAATATTTAAAAAATATTTATTAATTAGTAAATAATTACTATCTTTATTATCTTAAGAAGTCCTGATTAATTCCTTCCTAGTCTTAATAGAGTTTAATCTTAAGAAGGGGGGTATTATTATAGTATAAAATTATAATACTTATTTAATTAGATTCTACCTTAATTATTTATTCTTATTCCTATATTTAAACTATATTATCCTTAATCCTATTATAGCTCTTCAAGCTATATCCTGTCTATTACCTAATACCTACTATTCTGCTATTCTGTCTAGTTAGCTCCTAGTCAATAAATATCTGAATCCGACTCTGCCCCCTGACATATTATAAATAATAGCTATATAATAAATACTTAGAATTTTACTATTTTTAAAGGCTTAAATAGCAAGCTAGATTCTACCCTCTTACTCTACTAAGTTTTAAGTTAATTAACATGCTTTTAGTGGCATGGTAATAGTTTAAATAGTAATATGTAATTAAATGCGTGAAAATTTGGTAGATAGCTGGATGACTTGTGGTGGCTGGATGACCTAGGAATTACGTTATCATAAGTGGGTGACAATCATCAAAATGGAGGGATGTATGCAGCACTGACCTTGTCACAGCGCTTCGAGGTGATAGCTAGTCTTGGCGCCGGATAGCATTTCTCCCCAAAACAAAATATTTTTCCCGGCGCCTGGAGAAGCTCCATTATTGGGTTTCTATTTTAGTCTTTATTTTTGTTCTAAAACCGGGGCAGGTAAATTAATTGACTGGAAGACGCTTAATCGCTGTGGCGTTCGAATCACAGTCAGCGTAGTGGCCCATCAATAAGCACCGGCAACTTATAAGTCTGATTCCGACGAAACGGAATTTGACATAAATTTTGCTCTCCCTTCAAGCGAGAAGATCATTTTTCAGATTTCATACTACCCGCCATGACTTCATCCCTCCGGTTAGGTCAATGCGTTCGCGGTCAAAATGGATTATACACCATTGGCAAGCAACTGCAGGAGACGGTTTGGCTTGCGAGGTACGATTACAAATCTAACGGTAGATTCAGCCTCTCATAGTCTTTTTAGCAGAACCGGAAGCAACCAACAAGTGATCCTGAAAAGTGTCACTCATTTTCGCCTTCGGAATGAGCGTGATGTTCTGAACCGCTTTCAGTGTCGTACCCCTTTCATACGTCCTTTAATTGACGAGATAGTCGAGCCGTCTGATCCACCAGCAATAGTCTTGAAATATCTAGACAATCACCTTTTGAATGCTTCTGTCTCTAAACGACTTACAAATCAGGAGGTCAAATATGTTGCGAGAAGGATTTTAGAGGCGCTAAAGGTTCTCCATGAAAATAATTTTGTACATACTGGTAAGTGCTGTTATTGTCTGGATTAAGTACATTATCTTATACAGTTTGAAGATATCAAACCCGACAACATTCTCGTAAACTATGGTCAAGGGGATGTACGGTTTACAGATGTTCAACTTGCAGACTGTGGGAGTACGGTTCCTGCGGATTCAGCGTATGCCAAGGATGGCGACTTGATTGGAGCACCTATTTGGAGGAGTCCCGAAGCGCAGCTCCGAATTGGCTGGGGCACACAAACAGACATATGGTCTTTTGGCGCCTTAGTATGTTCATGTCAATTTCTCGACACTGCTAAACAGCTCTAACCTTGATCTAGCTTATAACCTTGCTCTATGGAGACAATTTCTTCCTTTTCAAACCAGATGTTCCCGCGGATCATGATGATTACGAATTAAAGATTCTTCAGAGGCAGTGTGAGTTGTTTGGGCCATTCCCTTTGACATACCGCGAGATCTGCCCGCCGGAAACCTTAAATATCCTGGCATACATCATGAAAAGCATTCCTCCCGAAAAGAAAAAACCATTTTCAAGGATTTCCGAACAGGAGATATCTAAGGAGGATAAGGAATTTATTCTAAGAATAATGAAGCTTGATCCAAGGGATAGACCGTCAGCAAGGGAGCTTCTGCAGGACAAGTGGTTCGCGTGTATAAATACATAATGGAAAACAAGAATTTGGCTGGGAGAGAAAGGGTCCTTGAAACAATTACCCAATATTCTACCCCAAGGTGCTAGAAGGGCTGTGTGGATTACCGCTGGAAAAAGACGAGGGATGGATCTCAACTTGTATATTGTCGCTGAGAGATTTTATACAAAACCTCATCCACCTCGTCTTAGCACCAACTGAGCAAGGCATTTTTCAATCAGCCATTGGAGTGGAGGCAGATCCCAAAACTGCAGGCGCCAATCATGACGCTGAGTTGAGTCATCCTAATAATGTGATCGAACTGGCTTCCCCCTAGTCATCCAATCTTGGTCCAGTGAGGCTTGAATGCGTGAAGGGACATTGATCTACTGGCTGTCACTTCCTTTGGGCTCAACACTCTGAGCGCCCCACTTCCCTATTGTCACCATCGTCGTCTGGCGAATTCTAACAGAACTAAAGATGGACTTGGGCCCGTATCTCACCTACAATGGAGTGGAATATGAATGTACTCTTTATGAAAGATTTTTCATTACTGATAATGCTCTTTATGCCCATTGCAGACAGACTTCACACCTTTATAATACTCAGCAACCCAGGGATACCTTTAAATAAGGGCCCAAATTGCTATAAAACCAACCAATATATATATTTCTGACCTACTATTATATATTCTACCCCTCCCCCCCTCCTCTAACTATGTTTCAACGCGTGGCAAGCTAAGATAGAGGTACTAACCCCTAACTACCTATCTAGAGGTATTAATATAACTAATTTTATATAATTATAGGAACTTCTATCCTTCTTAAACTTATATACTATTAAAAGATATAAAAGAAAGAATATCTTATTAAATTATATATTTTTTCTAGTTTATAAAGGTACTAGTACCTTAACTATTAACTTAGGCTCTATTATAAGAACTCTTTAGGATTACTTTAATAAGAAAGAATACTAGATAAAGATATATTATAAAGTACTAATTAAGCTAGCTACTATAATAAATAAACTTATTAATATCTAAAAGAGTTAGAATAAGAAAGCCTATATAATAATAATTTATAATAGATTTATTTAATTTATTATTATTAAAAAATATATTATTATAAATAATTATATACCTATATATATATATAATTAGCCTATAATAATAATATTAGTAATCTTAGGCAAGACCTTTAGTAAGTTTATAGTCTAGAGGGCTATATAGACCTTAAAAAACTTAAGAAGAGGACTTATACTAGCTAAAGTATATAATATTAGGTAGCTTATACTTAATTTAGGTAGGATTATTCTTACTATTATAATAAGATTAGTCTAGAGTAGATTAACTATATTAATAAATACTAGAAATAATTATAGAATCTTAATTATTTTACTAGGAAGGCTCCTTCTTATATATTCTAAGACCTATATAATATATTAAGCCCTAGTAAAGTATATTTTAGGGCTTATAACCCTTAATATAATACCTAGAATTAACTTAACTAGAACTAGATAAGTAATTATTTTAAGTAATCTTATTATTTAGAATCTTCTAGTAATAAAGAAAGTAATAAATATTATAAAAAAAGTACTAGATATAATTAATATTTATATCTTATAAAAGTAATATAATTATATAATATTTAGGATATCTAGTATAATAGTATTCTATAATAATACATGCCTAAAGATAGGTATACTAATAATAAATAAGATACTAGTATAAATAGGTATAAAACTAGTTAATTACTATTTATTAAAGTATAGGCTAGATATATAAATAAAGTATATAACCTAAATAATCTTCTTTCTAATACCTATCAAGAACTTTACCCTATTTAATAATAACTAGTAATCCTAACTTATTAAAAAGTAGGCCCTTATAAAGTAATATAATCTAGAATATTAAGGATATTATTACTTCCTAAAGTATATAAGATAGCCCTACTATTCCTAATATAATATACTAATTAAGGACTATACTAGGCTTATAAAACTAAATTATAATAATCTTCCTTATTATACTAATTACTTTAAATTATTTAAGGCAGGATATAAGAGCTGCCCTATAACCTTATATAAGATTAATAACTTTCTTATTAAATTATCTAAATAAGACCTAGTATATATTAGGTATTATAAGATATATACTTTCTAGAATACTTATAATTAAATAATAGTAATAATATAGTTATATATAAAGATAGATAGGACTTAATTTCTAAATTTTTATAAGTATATGGTAGAAGTACTTCTATAGCTAGATATAGATATAAAGGGCTTCTAAATTATAGAATAATATTTAGCCTAGGCTATTATATATATAAATAATATAAATCTAAAAGAGCTCTCTATCTAGAGCCTCTATATCTTTTTAAGCTCTAAGTAAGTAGTAAGTATATAGACTCTAAGAGTAGAGACTAATATTAATAGATTACCTAATATTTAATATTAGGAAGACCTAGGACAAGATATAGTAGGAGCTATATAAAATAGATCTAGTATTAGTAAGATCTTATAATTTACTAGACTAATATTAGTAAATTAATACTAAATTATACTATAATCTTATAGCTAGCCTATAAGTAGGATTATACTATAACCTATATATAGGAGCTATAGATAGGCCTAGAGATTAAGATATAAAACTATCTAATATTTAATTATTATTCTCTAGTTAATAGCTAAGGGGACCTAGAGAAGTAAATAAAGAAGTAACCTAGGGTACTTATATATATATATTAGGATCTAGGCCTGGGGGTAGAATAATATAAGCTAATTAGAAGCTAGGACCTACTCTAGATAATAATAAATAATATCTATATACTAAATATATATTAGAAACTTATTATATATAAAATAATAGATTATATAATAATATTAATTTCTATCTTTAATTATATTATAGGGAGTAATTTTAATATTATATATAATATCTTTAAGCTAGGGGTATAAAATCTTTATAGAAAAGGAGAGCTTATATAATAAATAGTTAATAATAGAATAAAATATATAAGGAAGCTAGGAATAATTATCTATATAATAAGATATATTCTAGACCTAATCTTCTCTAATATAGCCTTTACATGTATAAAGATCTACCTGGACCTGTACTATAGCTCAGACTATTAGATATAGATTATTATAGTCCTAGGGTACAAGCCTACACCCCTAGAGAGGTAATAACTTTAGGTCCTGGATAGGGACCTATAATAATTAGTAGGACTAGTATAGAATAGAATAATAAGTCTCCTAGATCTAGAAAATCTACTAGATAGACTAGTACTAGACTAGTATATAGAGGACCTAGAGGAGATACTCTAGAAAGTTATTAAGGTAATTAAGAAATTCCCTAATCTAGGCTAGAAGGCCACCTGTCACAGCGCGAAGCCGTAGTACCTATCTAGTTAGATTCTGCCTTGACTGTCCGCCCTTATTCCTGTATTTAAGCCATGTTATCCTTAATCCTATTATAGCTCTTTAAGCTATATCCTATCTATTACCTAATACCTACTATTCTATTATTCTATCTAGTTAGCTCCTAGTTAATAAATATTTAAATCTAATTTTATTCCCTAATATTATATAGCTCCTCTCTACTAAGAGTTAATTACTATTATTATACCTATCTTACTATCTATATTACCTAAAGATATAAAAACTCTCCTATATAATATTCTTAATAAATTAAGATAATATATTACTAAAATATACTAATTCTTTATTATTACTATAAAAAAACTTTATAAATTATTTACTTTATATTCTACTATTACTAATCTTCTTAACTATATTTAATAGAAAAATAATATAATTAAGTACTAGAAGATATAAGCTAAAAAAACCTAATAAAAGTTATTTAAAATATTTATTTAAAATAATATACCTTTTTAATTACTATCTCTTTTTAAAAAAAATACTAATATTACTATTTTTTTTATTATTATTATTATTCTTACTATATTTATTCTTATTATTTAAATCTCTAAATAACTTCCTAATCTTAATAAGTTTAATAGCTAATAAAGTAACTTAAGATACTTTACTTTTTAAATCTACTAGAAAATAATTATAAATCTTAATTATTTTCTAACCTTAAATAATAAAATAACTTATATAATTAATTATTTTAAAGAAACCTTATATACTTAAATCTTATTATATATTTAAGATAGAATCTATAAATTAAATAATTATATTAAGATTTTAAAAATTCTAAAAAAAATTTTTAAAAATCTAAATCTAGAAATTAATATTTATATTAATTTATTCTATCTTTAATAAACTTATTATAAGTTTAATATCTTTTTTACTAAATTTTAATATTTTATATTAAAAAAAAATATAAATAAAGATATCTTACTTATAATTTTAAAATAAGCTATTAATTAAGAATTTTAAGAAATATTAATATATTTTAAAATCTTATTATAATATTATAACTTTATTAATTACTTATAAAATCTAGAAAATTATTACTATTATTATATAAGTACTACCCTACTCTTATCTATAAAGAATTCCTAGCCTTCTTAACCTATTTTAAAGCTAACTTCTACTACCTAAATTCTTATAATCCCTATTAATCCTATTATTACTACTACTCCTACTAAAGATTTAATAGATCTATCTACTACCTATTACCTTAATTATTAAATTTAATACCTATATTACTACTATAGTAGTACTAATTACCTAATAGGTAGCTACTTATACTCTAACTAAAGACTAACTAGCCATATCTTTATATTTACTACTAAACTAGACTTATATCCCCTATTAACTAGAATTTTACCTACTAAATACCTTATATTTCCTAAATTAGAAAATAGAGTATCCCTAATCTAAATTATAATTAAGGATACTTCTAGCACTCTCTCTATCTATTAAAGGCTATAATAGCTAGAATAATAGTAAAGAAAGAAAATTATTAATCTAAATTAATAATTTTATTTATTAACTTAGAAATCCTTAATAAAACTCTACTAATCTTTATTATAATTAACTCTAGAGCTAAAAGTAAATATTTTATAAATTATAATTAAATTATAGATAATTAATTAAAGATACTATTATTAAGAAACCTTATTTTATTAAAAAAATTTAATAATATTCTAGTAAAATCTAGTTATATTACTTATTTTATTTATTTAATCTAAAGAATTTATAATTATATTAAAAAAAATATTACTTTTCTTATAATTTAATTTATATACTTTCTTATTATTCTTAACTTATTTTAATTAAAGATCTATAATCTCTAGATTAAATTTACTAATTATATTATTTTATTTAAAAGTTTTTATTATAAGAAATATTATAATATATTTTTAAAATTTATAAAGATTTTAGTATTATATAATATATTATTAAAAACTTCTTTTTAATATCTTAATCCCTGCTCTAAATCTCTAAAAAACTAAAATATTACTAGAGTCTTAATTATTACCTATACTATATATACCTGCTATAGATACTAGATATTTACTATTATTATTACTAATATTAAAGCTACTCTAAATTCTATTACTATTATTAAATCTAAGCTATAAAAATAACTACTTCTTAAATTTACTAAATTCTATAATATATTCTTATTAAAAGAGGCTAAGTACCTACTACTCTATTAATCTAATAATTATAAGATTAAACTATTACTTAAAAAAACTCTATTTTTTAAAAGCCTATATAGTATATCTTGAGATAAACTAAAAGTTCTAAAAAAATAGATTAAAAAAAATCTAAAAAAAGATTTTATTTACTCTAATTTCTCTTTTATTATATCTCCTATTTTATTTATAAAGAAATCTAGAGAAGGCCTATAATTCTATATAGATTATTAAGCCCTAAATATAATTACTATAAAAGATTATTACCTGCTATTATTAATAAAAGAGATATTAAATAATCTAAAAAGAATAAAATATTTCTTAAAAATTAATATTATTTTTACTTTTAATAATTTATAAATTAAGAAAGGACAAGAATACCTTATTACTTTCTAAACTTAATTAAACTTATTTAAATTCTTAATAATATTATTTAGGTTTACTAGAGTCCTAGTATTATTCTAAAAATTTATTAATAAAGTTTTATATAATTATCTAGATATCATAGTGTAGCTGTGTACCTATCTGGTTAGATTCTGCCCTAACTATCTGCCTCTACTCCTATATTTAAGCTATATTACCCCTGATCCTATTATAGCTCTTCAAACTATATCCTTATTCTAACCTAACCCCTACCTATTATACCTATATACAGATAGCCTGAATATATATCCTGCTATTAGCTATACCTACTACCTACCTGCTCCCCATAATATTATATAGCTCCTACCCTAGGTATAGCTACTATTAGTATATTAAAATAACCTAAACTATCCCTAATTATAGACTTAGTTAAGGAATTTATAAGCTATATTACTAATAATTTTATTACCTAGATTATTTACCTTAGGTCCTATAATAGATATACTAATTCTTTAAAGAAAGAGATTTATACTCTCTAAAACTAAGCTAATAAAGCTAGCCTAGAGCTAGCTAAGAAGAAGGAAGTAATACTATACTAGAAAGAAAAACTAGAAATAATCTAATAAAAATTAATTAAGTCTAAGTATATATTTATTATATTATAGGTTACTACTACCTCTACTATACTTACTTCTATTACTGCCCCCACCCCTATTAAACATGCCCCCCTTACTAAAGCTATAGTAGCTAATATAATAAGAGTATCTATACCTATTTCTACTAGTCCTTCTTCTAGTATCTATCTTAGTAAGAAACTTCCTAATCTATAAGAGTTTAATAGTACTTATTCTAATCTTTATTACTTTATATAATAGATCTATAGTAAAATAAATACTAACCTAGATTATTTTCTAGCTACTAAAGCCTGACTAACCTATATAATAAGATATCTAATTAGAAAGGCTTATAAATTAATCTTACTTAAAATAAGACTTAATATCCCCTAGTTTCTAGACTATCCTAACTTACTTAACTATCTAGAAATAGTATTTAGAGACCTTAATTAAGTTTAAAATACTTAGAACTACCTTTATAGTTAAAAATAAAGGAACTTAGATTTTAGTATTTACTTTATAGAGTTCTATTATCTTATTCTAGAAAAAAAAATATTTAATAATTCTTTAATACTTTTTCTAACTTAAAATATCTTAATTAAATTTTAAGATATATTACTTTATAATCCTACCCTATTCTAAGATTTTTAAGAATATACTAACTATCTTTAATTACTAGAAAACTACTATTACTAATACTAGCTATAAATATCTTATTCTTACCTAATATCTAGTTCCTACTACTCTAGCCTGATAGTACTAAGAAACCTCCCTAGTTCTATTTTATCTAGTTACCTAGTTACATCTCTTATACCTAGAAGAGATTTAGATGCTATAAATCTATTTTATACCTGCTATATATTATATTCCCCTAGGGGAGGATAATATAAATATAAGAAATATTTTTACTATAAAAATAGAGTATATTATATAAAAAACTACTTCTTACTTAATTAATATCTTATATAAATTTAAGAGTAGATAAATATACTAGTATATTATTCTAATCTAATCTTTATTATAATATTACCTACTTTCTATATTATAGTATAGAATAATTACTTTACTACTTTAGAAAAATCTAACTAACTATACTTCCCTAATACCCTGCCTAACTTAAAAAATAGAGTCTGCCTAGTTATAGTTACTACCTAGTACTAGAACATATATAGAAGTCCTTATTACTAGATATATTACTTTATCTATCTTATATTATTATTAAATTAACTAACTCCCCTAATCCCTATTATATGCGTGCTAATCTAATAATATAGTAAATATAACTATATTAAAAAAATCTAAAAATACTAACTTATACTATAACTAATTCTAGAGCTAAAGAAGTTAGCTTTATAAATTACTAATAAATAGAAATATATAAATTAAAGACTATTTTACTTTTCTATCTAATATTCTTATCTAGTTTCTATAGTAAGAAGGTAGAAGAAAGTATAGTAACTTATTATATAGAAGCTAACCTATTATTAAATAATTATTATAACTAGAAATCTATTTTTTATATTATCTATCTCTCCTACTACCTAATTATTCTAAGACTAGCCTAGCTTATTATATATAACCTAAAAATATATTTCTCTAATTAAATAGCTATATTTAATAACTAATATTATTATAAATACTATAATATACCTCTTAAGTTTATAAGAGTAAGGGCCCTAATAGATATTCTCTAGAAGAATTAACCTAAATAACTAAATTAATAAGAAAAATTACTAGAATTAAAATCTTTTATATCTATAGAAATATACTAAATATTCCTAAGAGTACTAGCTATATATATTTATTATTTAGTATAGAAACTATACTAGACCTTATTAAATAAAGTTAATAAAGAACTAAAGTATAGAAATACTAATTCTAAATTACTACTTATACTTCCCCTAGAATTATAAGATTTCTAAGATATATTTAATCCCTAAGAAGTAAAGAAGCTATTACTATATTAATTATATAATTATAATATCAAGGTCTAAGAAGGAAAATAGTCCTTATTTAATAAATTATACTTAATATTATAAGTATAATTAATTATTTTAAAGAAATAGTTAGAAAAGAACCTAAAAAAAGATTTTATATATTCTAGTTTATCTCTAGCTATTTCTTCTATCTTATTTATTAATAAACCTGGAGATAGCCTCTACCTATATATAGATTATTAAAAACTAAATACTATATTAGTTAAGAATTATTACTTATTACCCCTAATTAAAGAAACTCTAAATAACCTATAGAAAATATAGTATTTCTCTAAAATTAATCTAGTAGCTATCTTTAATAATATCTATATTAAGAAAAGGTTAGAGTACTTAATTACTTTTTAAACCTATTTTAGGCTATATAAGTCTCTAATTATACTATTTAGCCTGACTAGTATTCTAGCTATTTTCTAATATTTTATAAATAATATCCTATAATAATATATAAATATATTTTATAATATATTTCTAGATAATATCTTAATCTATAGCTATATAAGAAAAAAATATACTAAATATTTAAGGTAAATATTATAAATTTTAAGAAATAATAACTTATATATAAAGATATTTAAGTATAAATTTTACTAGCTAGAAGTTAAATTCCTAGATATTATTATTAGAAGAGAAGGTACTTATATAGACTTTAAAAAAATCAAGATTATAATAGATTAAAAGCTACCTAAAATAATTACTAATATTAAGAGTTTTATAGAATTTACTAGGTTTTATTAATATTTTATTAAAGGATTCTTACAGATCCTCATGCCTGTTATTACCTTAGAGAAGAAAGGAACCCTATTCTTATAAACTCTAACTTACTAGATTACTTTTAAAATACTAAAAGTAGAATTTATTAAGAAACTAATACTAAGGTCCTTTAATTAGGACTAACTAGCTATTTTAGAAATTAATACCTTAGATTTTATATTTACTAGAATATTATTATAATATAATAATAATAAAATTCTATACTTAATAGGATTTTACTTAAAGAAAATAATTCTAATTAAGTATAATTATAAAATATATAATAAGGAGTTACTAGTAATTATTTATTATTTAAAAAAATAGACCCTAAAACTAGAAGAATACTAGTATTTAATTAAAATTATAACTAATTATAGAAATCTAGAGTATTTTATAATAATTAAAATACTAAACTAATAATAAGCTTAATAATCTAAATTCCTGTCTTACTTTAACTTTATAATTAATTATTACCTAGGCAAGTATAGGGTAAAACTAGATAATTTAACTAGAAGATTATAGAATCTTTCTAAGAAAGGGAATAAATACTTATTATACTAGAGTTAAATAATATTAAAAAGAGAAAATTTAGTAAGCTTTCTACTTAAATACTTAAAAAAGTTATAAAGCTAGTAAATACTATAATTAATCTAGTTTTAAGCTACTACTAGAAGAAAGTTAGTATACTTCTAGCTACCTAAGTCTAAAGAAGAAGAGATTATCTAGCTCTCTAAATAATTAAGAGAGTGCCTAGATAGGGGTTATAAATAAGATCTAGTTCTTAATAATATTTTAGAAAGTCTAGAAAAGAGTTATAATTATTATTTACTAATTATATTATCTAAGTATATCTACTATTCTAGATTCTTATTTTACTATAATTAACTATATATCCCTAATATAAAAGAATTAAAAGTAGAATTAATATATAAATATTATAAGAGTATAATTACTAGTTATTAAGATAGATTAAAGACTTATAAATTATTATTATAATTATATTACTAGCCTAGAATATTATAGTTTATAAAATAATAGATTTATAATTATTATACTTATAAATAATTTATATCTTACTAAAATAAATATTAAGAAGTATTTTATTTTTTACTTATACTTAAAGATCTCTAGAAAAATATATTTATTAATTTTATTATATATTTACTCTAAAGCTTAGGCTTTAATATTATTATAATAATAATTAACTAGTTAATAAAATTTTAATACTATATTCCCTATAATAGTACCTATAATACTAAGAGAGCTGCCTATTTATTCTAAAACTATATTTAGAGATTTTATAGATTCTCTAAGTCTATTATATTTAATTAAGAATTCTAGTTTATATTAGTATTTTAAATATACCTAAACTATACTCTAAAAATAAGATTACTCCTATTTATTACTTACTACCCTAAAATTAACAGGCAAACTAAATATATAAATACTATTTTAGAATAATATCTATAAGTTTATATTAATTATTTATAAGATAATTAGATTAAATAATTATCTATAGTAGAATTTACTACTAATAATATTAATTTTAAAATTACTAGATACTCCTTATTCTTTACTTTATATAATTTTAACCCCTATATAAGATTTAAGCCTATTCTACCTAATTACTATCTATAAACTTATAATACTTACTAATTTATCTTGACTATAAAATAAATATAGGAATATTATTATATTATTATAGTTATTACTTAAGCCTACTATAAATATTATACTAATTAGAAATACTACCTTACTAGATACTATATTAAGGGCTAATTAATCTAATTAAATATTAAGAATATTATAATCCTATACCCTTAAAAGAAATTAGACTAGAAAAATCTAAGTCCTTTTCTTATTAGAAGGGTTATTAGCTCTTATACCTATAAACTAGACCTACTTAAAAGTATAAAAATATATCTAGTATTTTATATTAAATTATTATACCTAACTATTAAAGATCTATTATCTAGATAAGAGGAAACTAAATCCCTATATATTAAAGTTAATAGTATTAAAAAATAGAAGGTTAAGGAAGTAATTAACTCTTACTAGAATTATTATAGTTAAAGTAGCTACCTATATTTAAAGTATACTATTAAGTAGATTAGATACTCTACTATTACTAAAGTTCTTACTAGCTACCTAGAGAATACTACTAAGTATATTACTATTTATTATTACTACTACTCTAGAAAGCCTAGACCCTAGAAATACTTTACTAGAGCTTAGCCTAAGAGAGGGGATATTATTATAGTATAGTTATATACTTATCTAGTTAGATTTTACCCTAATTATCTACTTTTACTCCTATATTTAAGCTATATTACCCCTAATCTTATTATAGCTCTTTAAGCTATGTCCTCATCCTAACCTAACCCCTACCTATTATACCTGTATATAGATAGCCTGAATATACACCCTGCCATTAGCTATACCTACTGCCCGCCTGCTCCCCATGACACTAGATATTTTCTATATTATATATTTAAATAATATTCTAATTTATAGTTAAATTTATACTAAATATACTTATTATATCTAATAAGTATTAGAATACTTATAAATAGTAAGACTTTATACTAAATTTAGTAAATATAAATTCTTTATATATAAGATAAAGTTTCTAGAACTAATTATAAATAAAGATAGCTTTTAAATAGATTTTAATAAAGTAAAAATAATTATTAAATAAGAAATACTAACCTATCTAACTAATATTTAAGCCTTTATTAGTTTTAGGAACTTTTATTACTAATTTATTTATAATTTTTTAAAAATTATTAGACTATTAGTTAATCTAATTAAGAAAAATATTAACTTTAACTAGATACTTATTTATTAAGAAATATTTAAATAATTAAAAATTATTTTTATAAATATTCTAATATTAAAATTTTTTAACTAGTTAAAAAATATAATTCTAGAAATTAATATCTTTAATTATATATTTACTAGAGTATTATTATAATATAATAATAAAGATATATTATATTTTATTATATTTCTTTTTAAAAAATATTCTATAATAGAATATAATTATAAGATTTATAATAAAGAATTATTAATTATTATTTATTACTTTAAAAAATAATATTTTAAATTAAAAGAAATTTTATTATTTATAAAGATTATTATAGATTACTAGAATCTAAAGTATTTTATATTAATTAAATTACTAAATTATTAATAAGCCTATTAGTCTAAATTTCTATTAAGATTTAACTTTTAAATATATTATTATTCTAGAAAATTAGGTACTAAGCCTAATATATTAACTAGGAGGTTAGAGGACCTACTTAAGAAAAGGAATAAATAATTTCTTTATTAGAGCTAGACTATTCTAAAATCTAAAAATCTACTACCTAAGATTACTATTAATTTAAGATTAAATATTAATAACTAATATTAAGTATACTTTACTAAATAACCTATTACTAATAAACTAATCTTCTTATTATTAATATTATAACTATTATTTAATAGAACTTATTTATAAGATAAGAAGCTTTAATTTATTCTAAATATTCTAAAGAATAATTTATTAAGATACCCTAATATTATACTAGCTAATTATAGATATATTAATTTATATTTAAGATATTAAGATTAACTTTACATGCCTAATTATAATAAGATAAAAGCTAAAATATTAAGACTTTATTATAAAAATCCTATTACTAGATATTTTAAAAGAATTAAGATATATAAACTAATATTATATAAATATTTCTAGCCTAGGATTTATAAGTATATTAATTAATAAGTCTAGAATTATTATCTTTACTATTAAATTATTTCTTTCTAAAAAATAAAATAAAGAATATTAAAATCTTTACTAATTTCTAAATATACTTAATAAGATATAAGTATAGATTTTATTATATACTTATTATTAAATAATAGCTATAATATTATTTTAATTATAGTTAATTATTTAATAAAGATAAAGTACTTTCTTCCTTATATTAAGATAATTAATACTAAAGAAATAGCTAATCTATATTTTAAGTATATTTAGAAGCTCTATAATATCCTTAAAATAATTATATTAAATTATAGAGTCTAGTTTATTATTATTTTCTAAAAATATTTAATATCTTACCTAAAGATTTATAACTTATTATTTATTACTTATTATTCTAAGACTAATAGCTAAACTAAATATATTAATACTATTTTAAAATAATACTTATAAGTATATATATTATATCTATAAGATAATTAGTCTAAATAATTATTAATAACTAAATTTATTACTAACTTTATTTACTCTAAATTTATAAGAGTATTATTATTTATAGTTAATTATAGATTTTATTTAATATTAGAGTTTAAATTAAGCTATTTTATTATTTACTTTATTAAAAAAAATATTAAAAAATTTATTAATATTATATATAAGATTTATAAATTTATTTATATTAAGATTTTATTTACTTAAGCCTATTATAAAATATAAGCTAATTATTAAAGGTAATCTATATATTATTATATTATAGGATAAGAAGTCTAGCTAGATACTTATAATATTTAAATACTTTATCTATAAAAAAAATTAGATTAAAAAAATTTTAGATTATATTATATTAAAAAAATTATTAGCTTATATACTTATAAACTTAAATTACTTAAAAATATAAAAATTTATTCTATATTTAATATATTTTTATTTTATTTTATTATTAATAATCTTTTACTTAATTAATATTCTAATCTACTACTATTTATTAAAGTAGAAGAATTAAAAAAATAAGAAGTTAAAGAAATTCTTAATTCTTAATAAGTTTATTAAGGCTATAGTAAACTTAAATTATAATATATTATTAAATAAATTAAATATAATAAATTAATTAAAAAATTTATTAAATATCTAGAGAATATTTATTAACTAGTAAATAATTATTATCTCTATTATTCTAAGAAACCCTAGTTAATTCCTTCCTAGTCTTAATAGAGTTTAACTTTAAGGAGGGGAGTACTATTATAGTATAAAACTATAATACTTATTTAGTTAGATTCTATCTTAACTATCTACTCTTATTCCTATATTTAAGCTATATTATCCTTAATCTTATTATAGCTTTTCAAGCTATATCCTGTCTATTACCTGACACCTACTATTCTGCTGTTCTGTCTGGTTAGCTCCTAGTCAATGAATATCTGAATCCGACTCTGTCCCCTGACACCACCCCCTAGTAGATAGTAAAGTATATAGACTCCTATAATAAGTAGCTAGTAAAATTAAGTCTAAAAAACAGAAAATACTTCCAGAATATAGTCTAGAAAGCTAAATATTAATATTAGGTAGGTATTATTAATAAGGTTAATAATAATAAGAAGCTCTACTAGATTATAGTCTAATATAAGTTAGAATCTAGAATAAAAATACTACCCCTTTAGATAAATAGTTATATAATTAAAAATATCTAGGAGAAAATTAAAGTCCTCTAGTAAGCTATTCTTAAATAATTTAACTTAATAAATAACCTAGAGTTTAATCCTATAATAAAAACTTACTAGACTAGAGATAAGTACCTTTCCTAGGGAGAAAAAATATTAAAAAAGAAGATTAAAAAAAATATAATTAAAGTAAGTAATATTTTTTCTAGAATAGATATAATTATAATATAGATTTTAAAAGCCTACTAGAAATTTATAAATAAAATAATATATAGATTATATAATAAATATTTATAATTAAGCTACTTCCTTATATTATAAAAGATTATAAAGGTAGTTATACTTCTTAAAATAAGTAAGTAAGATAAGATATTCTTTAAATTCTAGAAATTAATTATTCTATTATTAATAATTAATAAAGATCTAGAAAAGATAATAGTTTAAAAAATTATATATATAATACTTATATATAAGATTCTAAATCTATAATAATATAGTATACTTCTCTAGTACTTTACTATAGATCTAGTTATAGCCTATATATATAATATAGAAATAGTCTTTATTTAGAATAAGAAAGTAACTATAATTATAATAGATATATTAAGGGCCTTTAATACTCTTTTATAGTATAGGTTACTAAAGTAAATAGTAAAGTAGAAATAATCTTAAGCCCTAATTATTCTTATTAATAGCTTCCTAATTAATAGGCTTACTAGGATTAGACTAGAAATAATATTAATAAAAGTAGATCTAGTACTTTATAAGATATTATAAAACTTATTTCTATCTCTAGTTTTTTTCTTATTCTATATAGTAAAACTACTCCTATAAAATATAATTCTTTACTTTAGATATATTAATAATCTCTACTTAAGCTATATTATCTAAATACTAGAGAATAATTATAAGTACCTAGAAGTAGATATCTAAAGAATACTAGCCTAGAATAATTAGAATAAAGTAGCTTTTATACTAGAAAAGCTAGAAATAATCTATATTATAAGGAAATAATATAAGAAGATACCTATCCTAAAGATTAATAATTATCTAATAATATAATCTATTATAAAGGTACTAGAGTAAAAGTAATTAATATTTAGATAGCTAGGAGTCTACTTTAATAAGTAGCTTTTTTAGAGGAAATATATAGTAAAGAGGGCTATTAAGGTAAGAGTAGTAGTATAATATATATAAGACCTAGTAAGAATAGTTTATAACTTACTAGTAGCCTTATTATAAAAGGTAATTATTACTTATATTCTATCTAGTATACTTTATAATATAGAAGTATAATATAAGGATTATATAAAATTAAGATAATATACTTAAAATATAAAGATTAGTACTTATTTAAGCTAGTATATAAATATATTAGAGAAGACTTTAACCCTAATTATTAAGAAAATTCTTCTAATTTATAAAACTATACTAATAATAACTCTTTTTAAAAATACTAGCTTATTATTTATAATAGTAATCCTAAAAAAAGTATACCTATACTTTATACTTTATCTCTAATTAATAAATAAGAATAATTTTCTAATTAGGAGGATTAAGCCTCTATATATATAAAGAGATTATAGGGCAGGCTTATTTTAAAAATTAAAAATCAAGCTCTAGATAATAAGGGCCTTCCTCCTAACTATTTTCTAACTAATCTTAAATTAGTTATATTATACCCTAGGATATATAATAAATCCTATAGAAGGAAAAGGAAAGAAAAAAGTAGTAAAAATCTTTAAAATATAATAAGGAATATTACTAGTAAGAGATATAATTATTTTTAGTAATAGATTTAAAAAAAGTTACTAGAGCTAATATTATATAAGTTATAAATATATAATATATAATAAATATAGAAAGATTACTTATAATAAAATAGTTATTAACTTATAATTATATATATTTAATATAAAATCTATAGAAACTTTTTAGAGTCTAAAGATAATTATTAAAAAGCTATTTAATACTAGCTATTACTAGCTATATATAGATAGTACCTTTATAATATAGTATAATAAAGGGGAAGCTATAATCTCCTCTTATTAGATCTTTTAAGTACTATATTATTTAATTAGAAAATATAGGATAGAACTCTACTAGGCCCTAGGCTATAAAAAGATTAAAGATAATAAAAGAGTAGATTAACTAGCTAATTAAGGGGCCTTCCTTAAGACTAGGGGCCTAAAATAGGGCTTCTTAAAGGCTATACTTACTACTAATAAAATTAAAATAATAAGTTACTAACTTTACTAAAAAATATAGATTAATTAGTAGGTAAAGATATTTTTAAAGCTATTAAGCTAGTATTAGTAATAATTAATAAATAAGATAAAAATATATAAAATAGTCCTATCTCTAGAATTATATCTCTAGTATCTAGATCTTTACTACTAGCTAGTAATTAAGTTCTTATATAAGAACTTTAGCTAGTACTATAAATACTTCTAATATAAGAATACCTAGTTTATATACTTTTATAATAGGAATAAGAGCCCTAAATATCTAGTCCTTTACTATTATAATAAGTAGCTCTTTACCTAGTAACCTTAATAATTACTATAGCCCTTAATAATCAAGTATAAGATAATTAAGTATCTAAAGTAATTAATATCTAAAAATTTTATTATATTTCTAGTTACTATAAGATTCTATAAGAATATATATTTATACTAGACTAATTTAGAGCTAAGATATCTTAAGCTAGAAATTAATCTAGAATAAAATAAAATATAAGATCTAGAGCCTTATAATCTTTTTTCTCCCTTTTTAATAAATAATAAATTAATATTTATACTTCTTAATCCTTTCTTTTATTCCTACTATATTAAGTTCTTCTTTCCTAACTAACTAGTCTTACCCCATACTCTTATATATAAAGAAGGGCCTAGTGCCTAAAGAAACCTAGGATAGCTCTAGTAGTCCCTAATAAAGATATCCCTATAATAGCAGCTATATATTAGGATAATATAGGGATAATAGCTTCCCCCCCCTTATATAAAGGAGGAGGCCCCTATTTATACTAGAATTACCTTCTGGAATAGTATAAATATATACTATATTTACCTAGATAGATAGGTAAATAGGTAGATAGATATACCTACTAGCTTAGCACGCCCTTATACCCCTAGGGAGGTCAGGAGCCTCGGGCTCACGCCCGAGGATACCACGTGGCGTTAAGCAATACAACAACAACAACAACAGACAGACTTCAGAACATGCTTGGTGTGAAAGGTGCCGCCGAGTGTTTATTTCAGACCCCGCCAAAAATGCCCATCTTCGAGAGTCGCGCAGGCATAATTTCTGTTCAGCTTGTCCTCAATCAAGAGATTTTAAGACTCCTGAAGAGCTTGAAGATCATTCAGTGGACGCTCATCACTTTTGCCCCGATTGCAATATGTATCATAATTCTGCTGGAGAACTTCGAGATCATGATGTCGTGAAGCATTACCTTTGCGTCAGATGCGATGGCTACTTTGGTAATGACAATAATCTACGAATGGTAAGCACTAGTGTTAAAGAGCTTAACTTACTTGGTGCTAATGGTACAATCTTTTCAGCACCAGCAGAAACACCAAACCCGAAGTATGGAATGCTATGGCTGTTACCAGACCTTTAAATCCCTCTCTGGAATGCTTATCCATCTGGAGTCTGGAAATTGCCCGTCAAGGGCTACTGAGGAGGAGATTGATAACATAGCCCGCAAATGTTATCAGAGTCGGAAATACATAATTTCTGAGGATGGAGGGTGGCTATATAGATGTCCCAGCTGTAGCAAGGAGTTTCTAAAGCTTTCTGCGCTGTATCAACATGCTGAGGACACCCCACGATGCTCCTTTCTTTCAAAAGGCCATGAGTGTCTGGCCAAACTCGAGCATTTCATTGCTCGCAGCATACAGTAGCTTGTGATAAATACAGGCTGAAGCCACTTTAGTTCATAATCCACTGATGTTTGCGATGCCTAAGTCGACAACCTTCAGAACTCGTCTGGGTTAAAACTCCAAGGAACTCTAATGGTTTCACTTCCCATTAACACTTTCGAGATACAAGATTTCTTGTATCAGTTTAACCTTGTAGATTAAACCCCACTCAGCAGGCCGCTCCTTAGTTTGTTGCATGGCTAATTCTGTTCACAATCACGTACAGTCAGTGATCACCTGATACACAGCCCCATCTTATGCACATTTTGCCCCTTACTAACTTTCTAGATAGCAATTTTTAACTTCATATATTTTATTTAATATAACTCTAATTAAAGTAGTATTAAAAATAATTAATTCCTTAGAATTAGGTACTTTAATTGATTATATTAAAATTATAAAATAATTTAATATTAAGTAATTAATATTATTAAAGTATTATTATAAAATTTTATATTTAAAAAATTACTAATATAAGTAATAGCAAGCTCTTAATAATTAATATAAAAAAGAATTTATAAAATATATTAATAAATTTATTAAATAAGATTTCTTTATATTTTATAAAATATTATATAATTTTATAAAAAAAATAAATAAATAAAAGTTTAAAAAATACTAGTCTAGTTACTTTCTAAAGTAATATTAAAATAATTTTATTTTAACTTATATAATTACTATTAATATTATATAAAAATAAGTTAATTCTATATATAAATATATATTATATTTTAAATTATTATATTAGAAATTAGAGAAATATAAGTTATATATAAAAAATATTTATAATATAGATAAAAAAAGATTTCTTATTAAAATACTTATTAAAGGTCTTAAGATCTTTTTTAAGTAGAAATATAAAAATAGAATCTTTAAGTAATACTTATAAGATAAAAATTAAGAGTAAATAATCTTAATTACTTATATTTATATTAATCTTAAGAAAGGAGATACTATTATAGTATAATTATATACTTATTTAATTAAGATTCTATCTTAATTATTTATTTTTATTCCTATATTTAAGCTATATTACTCCTAATCCTATTATAGCTTTTTAAATTATATTCTTATCCTAACCTAATCCCTACTTATTAGATCTATATGTAGATAGCCTGGATATACACCCTGCTATTAGCTATACCTACTGCCTGCCCGCCCTTATAACAAAAATAATAACTTATATATAAAGATATCTAAATATAAATTCTACTAGCTAGAAATTAAGTTTTTAAATATTATTATTAGAAGAGAAGGTATTTATATAAATTTTAAGAAAATTAAGATTATAATAGATTAGAAATTACTTAAAATAATTATTAATATTAAAAGTTTTATAAAATTTACTAGATTTTATTAATATTTTATTAAAGGATTCTTATAAATCTTTATATCTATTATTATTTTAAAGAAAAAAGAAACCCTATTTTTATAAATTTTAATTTACTAGATTACTTTTAAAATATTAAAAGTAGAATTTATTAAGAAATTAATATTAAGATTCTTTAATTAAAATTAACTAGTTATTTTAAAAATTAATACTTTAAATTTTATATTTACTAGGGTACTATTATAATATAATAATAATAGGATTCTATATCTAGTAAGATTTTATTTAAAGAAAATAATTTTAATTAAGTATAATTATAAGATATATAATAAAAAGTTACTAGTAATTATTTATTATTTAGAAGAATAAATTTTAAAATTAGAAGGATACTAGTATTTAATTAAGATTATAATTAATTATAAAAATTTAAAGTATTTTATAATAATTAAAATATTAAATTAAAGATAAATCTAATAATCTAAATTTATATTTTACTTTAACTTTATAATTAATTATTACTTAGATAAGTATAGGGTAAAACTAGATAATTTAATTAAAAGATTATATCAGGGTGCAGAGTTGGATTCAGTTATTTATTGACTAGGAGCTAACCAGACAGAATAACAGAATAATAAGTATCTAGTAATAGATAGGATATAGCTTGAAGAGCTATAATAGGATTAAGAATAATATAGCTTAAATATAGAAATAAGAATAGATAATTAAGATAGAATTTAACTAGATAGATACTATAGCTTTATACTATAATAATATCCCCCTCCTTAGGATTAAACTCTATTAAGACTAGGAAGGAAGTAGTTAAGGCTTCTTAAGATAATAGAGATAGTAATTATTTATTAGTTAATAAATATTCTCTAGATATTTAATAAGCTTTTTAATTAATTTATTATATTTAATTTATTTAATAATATATTATAATTTAGATTTACTATAGCTTTAATAAATTTATTAGAAATTAAAAACTTTTTTAACTTTTTATTCTTTTAATTCTTTAATTTTAATAGATAATAATAAATTAAGATATTAATTAAGTAGAGGGTTATTAATAATAAGGTAGAATAAAAATATATTAAATATAAAATAGATTTTTATATTTTTAAATAATTTAAGTTTATAAATATATAAGTTAATAATCTTTTTAATATAATATAGCTTAAAATTTTTCTAGTCTAACTTCTTTTATAGGTAAAGTATTTAAATATTATAAGTATCTAGCTAGACTTCTTGCCCTATAGTATAGTAATATATAGTGTCACAGCGCGAAGCTGTAGTACCTATCTAGTTAGATTCTGCCTTGACTATCTACCCTTATTCCTATATTTAAGCTATATTATTCCTAATCCTATTATAGCTCTTTAAGCTATATCCTATTTATTACTTAATACTTACTATTCTATTATTCTATCTAGTTAATTTTTAATTAATAAATATCTAAATCTAACTTTATCTCCTAATATTATATAGCTCCTCTTTATTAGAAATTAATTATTACTATTATACCTATCTTACTATTTATATTACCTAAAAATATAGAAACCCTCCTATATAATACTCTTAATAAATTAAGATAATATATTATTAAGATATACTAGTTCTCTACTATTATTATAAAAGAACTTTATAAATTATTTATTTTATACTTTATTATTATTAATCTTTTTAATTATATTTAATAAAAAAATAATATAATTAAGTACTAGAAGATATAAGTTAAAGAAATTTAATAAAAATTATTTAAAATACTTATTTAGAATAATATACTTTCTTAATTATTATTTTTTTTTAAAAAAAATACTAATATTACTACTTTTTTTATTATTATTATTATTTTTACTATATTTATTTTTACTACCTAAATCTTTAAATAACTTTCTAATCCTAATAAGTTTAATAATTAATAAAGTAACTTAAGATACTTTACTTTTTAAATTTACTAGAAAATAATTATAAATCTTAATTATTTTTTAATTCTAAATAATAAAATAATTTATATAATTAGTTACTTTAAAGAAATCTTATATACTTAAATCTTATTATATATTTAAGATAGAATTTATAAATTAAATAATTATATTAAGATTTTAGAAATCTTAAAGAAAATTTTTAAAAACTTAAATTTAAAAGTTAATATTTATATTAATTTATTCTACCTTTAATAAATTTATTATAAATTTAGTATTTTTTTTACTAAATTTTAATATCTTATATTAAAAAAGAATATAAATAAAGATATCTTATTTATAATTCTAGAATAGATTATTAGTTAAGAATTTTAAGAAATATTAATATATTTTAAGACCTTATTATAATATTATAATTTTATTAATTATTTATAAAATCTAGAAAATTATTATTATTATTATATAAATACTATTCTATTCTTATTTATAAAAAGTTTCTAGCCTCTTTAATCTATCTTAAAACTAATTCCTACTACCTAAATTCCTATAGGCCCTATTAATCCTATTATTATTATTACTCTTACTAAAGATTTAATAGATCTATTTATTACCTACTATCTTAATTATTAAATCTAATACCTATATTACTATTATAGTAGTACTAACTATCTAGTAGGTAGCTATTTATACTCTAATTAAAAACTAACTAGCTATATTTCTATATTTACTTGTCAGGGGACAGAGTTGGATTCAGATATTCATTAACTAGGAGCTAACCAGACAGAATAGCAGAATAGTAGGTATCAGGTAATAGATAGGACATAGCTTGAAGAATTATAATAAGATTAAGGATAATATAGCTTAAATATAGGAATAAAGGTAGATAATTAAGGTAGAATCTAACTAAATAAATATTATAGCTTTATACTATAATAGTACCCCCCTTCTTAGAATTAAGTTCTATTAAGACTAGGGAGAAATTAGCTAGGGTTTCTTAGAATAATAAAAGTAATAATTATTTATTAGTTAGTAAGTATTTTCTAGATATTTAGCAGGCTCTTTAATTAGTTTATTATATCTAATCTATTTAATAATATATTATAGCTTAAATTTATTATAGTTTTAATAAATTTATTAAAAATTAAAAACTTCTTTAACTTCTTATTTTTCTAATTCTTTTATTTTAATAAGTAGTAATAAATTAGGGTATTAATTAAATAAAGGATTATTAGTAATAAGATAGAATAAAAATATATTAAATATAAAATAGATTTTTATACTTTTAAATAATTTAAATTTATAAATATATAAATTAATAATTCTCTTAATATAATATAACTTAAAATTCTTTTAATCTAATTTCTTCTATAAGTAGAGTATTTAGATATTATAAGTATCTAGCTAGATTTCTTATTCTATAATATAGTAATATATAGGTTATCTTTAATAATTAGCTTATATTTTATAATAAGCTTAAGTAAATAAAATCTTAATATAAATAAATTTATAAATCTTATATATAGTATTAGTAAATTTCTTAATATTTTTTTTAATAGGGTAGATAGTAAGATAGCTTAATTTAAATCTTAATATTAGGTAGAATCTATAATTAGCTATAAATAGTAATATTCTTATAAACTTAAAGTAAATAGAGTTAGTAGTAAATTTAATTATTAATAGTTATTTAAATTAATTATCTTATAGGTATAATATATATATTTATAAATATTATTTTAAAATAATATTAATATATTTAATTTAGCTATTAATTTTAGAATAATAAATAATAAATAATAGATTATAAATCTTTAAGTAAGATATTAAGTATTTTTAAAAAATAGTAATAAACTAGATTTTATAATCTAATATAATTATTTTAGAGATATTATAGAGTTTCTAAATATACTTAAGATATAGATTAATT